AAATGTCACAAATGGAGTACCACAGGGTTCAGTTCTTGCACCATTGATGTTTATTGTCTACATAAATGATCTACCATTCTTATACAGAATTATATGAACATGTTTGCTGATGATGCTAAGATAATAGGAAGGATAAGAAACTTGATTGTCATGCCCTTCAAGATTTTTTTTTTTTTTTTGAGATATATACAAGAGTTGTTACATTCTTGTACAGCCACTAGTACGCGTAGCGTTTTGGGCAGGTCTCTGGAATACAATTCCCACCGCGAAGAATCATTGTTACAACCAAGTACACATTTTACTGTTACGTTAAACAGAGGCTACAGTTAAGGATTGGCGCCCAGTAAATCCTCCCTGGCCAGGATACGAACCCGACAAAGCGCTCGCGGAACGCCAGGTGAGTGTCTTACCACTGCACCACGGAGACTGTGAACCTGGACAAGATGACCTGGACAAAATAAGTATATGGAGCACCACTTGGCAAATGGAATTTAATGTTAATAAATGCCATGTATGGAATGTGGAATAGGAGAACATAGACCCCACACAACCTATATATTATGTGAGAAATCTTTAAAGAATTCTGATAAAGAAAGAGATCTAGGGGTGGTTCTAGATAGAAAACTATCACCTGAGGACCACATAAAGTATATTGTGCAAGGAGCCTATGCCACGCTTTCTAACTTCAGAATTGCTTTTAAATACATGGATGGCGATATACTAAAGAAATTGTTCACGACTTTTGTTAGGCCAAAGCTAGAATATGCAGCGGTTGTGTGGTGCCCATATCTTAAGAAGCACATCAACAAACTGGAAAAGGTGCAAAGACATGCTACTAAGTGGCTCCCAGAACTGAACTCTAACTCCTCTCCCAGTTACAAGGAGAGGTTAGAGGCATTAAATATGCCAAAACTAGAAGACAGAAGAAAAAGAGCTGATATGATCAATACATACAAAATAGTAACAGGAATTGATAAAATTGATAGGGAAGATTTCCTGAGACCTGGAACTTTAAGAACAAGAGGTCATAGATTTAAACTAGCTAAACACAGATGCCGAAGAAATATAAGAAAATTCACTTTTGCAAACAGAGTGGTAGACGGTTGGAACAAGATAGGTGAGGTGGTGGAGGCCAAGACTGTCAGTAGTTTCAAAGCGTTATATGACAAAGAGTGCTGGGAAGACGGGACACCACGAGTGTAGCTCTCATCCTGTAACTACACTTAGGTAATTACTATATCTGTGATTGCCCTGTTATCAGTGATTTCAGACCAAATAGTGTAAGGTACTTTGAGCTCTGTAACGGCTTCATACACTCAGGAATATTGGAAGATATTCTTCTGCTGTACCCAGACTTTGCCAGTGGAGGCTACAACTGCCTCTACTCTTGACCACATCTTGACCTCTGATACGACTGCCTCTACTCTTGACCACATCTGGACTAACATAACCTCTCCACTTCAGGGATAATCACTGATAGGACCACAGACCAATACCCCACATTTCTTCTAACCAACATTAATAAACCACCTCTAGATACAATGAAGGTAGATACAATGAATGATACAATGCTTTAGGCTGTACAATGAAACTTCTGTAAGCAACTGTATTGCTGCTGCTGCTAATATCAACTGGGAGACTGAATTAGGTAACATTGTTAACATCACCCTAGCAGTGCAAACATTTCTTCAGAAAACTCTGAGCCTCTATAATACCCCACTGTCCAAAGCTAAAGAAACTCATCACAACTAAAAGGTTACACAATCCATGGCTTACTAAGGGGTATACTTAAGTCTATTAATAAAAAACATGACCATGAGAGAAAGTATAGGTTAGGGGTCATTTCTAAAGATGTTTCATGGAGATACTCATCAATGCTGTCCAAAATAATTAGGAGAGCCAAAATAAAATACTATGAAAATAAATTTGACCAAATTATGGGCAACCTTAAGAAAAATAGAGCACTATATCCCAAATATTAGGATCAAAGAAGATCTGGAATAAGAAACCAATATGCCTACCCAATGACGATGGTGTGCTTTCTGCCTCGGACACTGCTATTTAATTTAGTAATTTCTTCTTATCCATTCGCACATCCCTTGCAAATTATATCCAATCCTCCCTAACTAATGTTCAGGACTACCTTACAGGAAACTATCCAGCGTGTCTGTACCTAAGTCAAGTTCTGATGTTAATGAGATAATCCTTTCTCTTAAAACAAGGTCAAGTGCGCTTGCTGAGATACCAACTCTAATTTATGAAAAAGCCTCTAGATTTCTAGCACCAGCCATTGCATTGCTCTACAACAAATTACTTGAACTCCAAACATTTCCGGATATTCTAAAAATTAAAGCAAGAGTAACCCCAGTCCATAAATGTGGTGAACTCACTGATGTCAACAATTTCAGACCTAAATCAATTCTGCCAAACTTGTCAAAAATATTCTAAAAGCTAATCTACAAGCAGCTTTACTCTTATCTAGCAAAACACTACAGTATACTTAGCTCTTAACAATATGGCTTCAGACCCAAAAAAAAACACTAATGATTCTTTGATTAATATGATTAACTTGATATATGCAGCTCTTGATAAAAATGAGTTCCCTGTTGGGGTTATTTGTTGACCTACATAAGGCTGTTGACATTGTCAAACCACGATAGCCTTCTTTTTAAATTACATCATTATTGAGTCAGAGGTCACTCCCTCTAATACCTTCAGTCTGATCTTACTGACAGGCTCCAGTATGTATCTGTGAATGATTCCATTTCTCCCACCCTACCCATCAACATTGGTGTTCCACAGGGCAGTATACTTGGTCCTCTTTTTCTCATCTACATTAATGACCTTCCAAATCTCAACACCTCAAGCCAATTTTATTTGCTGATGACACAACCTTCATTTTTTCCAGTCCTAACCATCTTACTCTGAATTATGCAGTGAATACTGAACGAAATAAAGGCCATCTAATACTTAATACTACTTAGCAGTCTTATCTAATAATTAATACCATCTAATACTTAATACTACGATTTAATACTAAATCCCCCTCTAATACTTTCTTTTCGGAGTTAGATTTTCAGGGATCTGGTCTATCTTCATCCCTACCTCAGCATTACTCCTCCCACCATACAGCACAGTGGTAATTATCACAACAATCCTGCTATTATCAGAATCCTGGTCATTTTTATCACAGTCAGAGGTCTTCTGTAATACTATCATCGCTAAATAATACCAGTTACATATATTTTTGACATTTTTAGGTAATGCTGTGGTCACAAACTAAACAGCAATGCTGCGTGCACCAGCCTTGGTTACTCAGTCAGTACTGAGGCTCTCATACCCGGGAATGTTGCCCACGATTTAAAAAAAAATGGCGTCTGTTTACAAGAGCCCTGAGGAAGCTGATGTGAACCTCGTGTAGTCGTGGGACTTTTAAATCTTGTGTGGTACCCCAATACATCAATAGCTGTGGTGCACAATTCTGTGACAGTTACTCACCACAGCAATTGATGAGTTGCGCAGTTAAAGGGTTAACAGTTACAGCAAAGTGTTTCAGGTTTATCATTGTACTCAGTTTTTCTTTTTTTTTTTGTATATTTTGTTAAATGAATACACATATTTCTATTTGCTGTTTTCTGACAATTATTTACCATGTTAGAGATATCTGCAACACGACAGGCCTCTTCATATGTCAGTGTTGGATTATCTTAATTTAAGAGAAACAAAATTTGCCATACGTTCCATTCACTTGGGCTGTAGGAGTCTCGAACCGTGGACTCCACAAGTGTGAGGCCGAAGCTCTATCACACGCGTGGGCTCCACAAGTGTGAGGCCGAAGCTCTATCACACGCGTGGGCTCCACAAGTGTGAGGCACAAGTGTGAGGCCGAAGCTCTATCACACGCGTGGGCTCCACAAGTGTGAGGCCGAAGCTCTATCACACGCGTGGGCTCCACAAGTGTGAGGCCGAAGCTCTATCACACGCGTGGGCTCCACGGTTCAAAACTCCTACAGCCCAGGTGAATGGAATGTTTATTTCCACGGAAGTGTGGATGACAATTTATTTGCCATACATGTTTATGTTACATTTACTTCTCTGCCCTTTAAGAAAGCAGTCCAAAAATAGGAAGGAATGAGCAGCCCTCATATTTACACAATACTGGCAATGCAGATTCGGCAGTTTGTGGATAACCACTTTTACAACAACAAAAATTATGGGAAAATTTTTATGGCATACAGATAATTCAAGCTAATCTACAAGTCTACAGTGCTTTTACCTGTGTATTGGGCTACAACACACATTCTTTTTTTTATTTTTTTTGCAAACTTTTAATACCATATTCTTGCATTGCACACCACAAGTATTCTGGACCTCATTATGCACTATTTATAACTGGAACATGATAGGAGCAGTAAATATTAAATATTTAAATAGGCATTTTATTCATATACTATATCTCAAATTATAATCCTATTTTTACCATACACTGTAACTTATTGTTAATTCTTAGTTTTTGCTCTTTACAATTTTTTTTACAGGGACTTAATTCTTATACAAACTGAGGGGAGGCTGTATAACAGCATCAATCCATCCTTTTGCCCTCACCCTCCCTACATAAAAGAGAAGTATATACAGGTACACAATGATGGGTCTGATATCATCCAATAGACCAATAGTAATGCTAACTCTGAAATGCCCAACTGCCTCTTGGAAAGACCAAACCAGCCAAATGATTCAGTTCGATCACAATTTTCTATCAAAGAATGCATCACCCACCTCCCCAAAGGTATTGCAGCACCTTGGCAGACTCAACTTCCAGATGGGAAACAAGGAGTACATAGCCTGTCATACATGGAAACACCACATGGGTAGGATGAAGCCAAAGTGGATTTCATTGTTTGACTTCTCGCTCAAATGCACTCCAGGTTATGGCAATAGCTCAACCAGCACCAACCTCATTATGTAAGGGCACTTGCCATGAGGAGAAAAAGGACATATAGTAGAATTGGGGAGATTTATTTTCCAACAATAAGTTAACTAACACACACTTATAGTCCTTGCATTATGAGTGGGAACATTCCTGTGAAGGGACCCTAGCTCATAAAGCCCAAACATTTACAATTTCTCTCCTGTGTGAACTCTCATGTGACGTACTTGAGCCGATTTATGTGAAAAAACTTTCAGACACACTGAACACTGATACGGTTTTTCTCCTGTATGAACTCTCAGGTGAAGTACTAAATATGACTTTTTTAAAAAAGCTTTTTGACACTCTGAACATTGGTAAGGTTTTTCTCCTGAATGAATTCTCATGTGATGTACAAGAGTTGACTTATGTTTAAAGTCCTTTAGACACTCTGAACACTGATATGGTTTCTCCTCTGAATGAACTCTCATGTGATTTACTAGATACGGCTTTCGTGAAAAAACTTTTAGACAATGTAAACAGTGAAATGGCTTATCTTCTGAATGAATTTTCAAATGAGCTTTCAGAGTTGACTTTTGTGGAAAGCATTTTAGACACACTGAACACAGATATGGTTTCTGTCCTGAATGACCTCTCATGTGATTTATAAGATGAGAGTTTTGAATAAAGCTTTTCAGACACTCTGAACACTGATATGGTTTCTCTCCTGAATGAAGTCTCCTATGATGTACTAGATTTGACATTTCTGTAAAGCTTCTTAAACACACTGAACACTGATATGGTTTCTCCCCTGTATGAACTCTCATATGTCGAACTAGATATGATTTACGTTTAAAGTTTTTTGAGCATTCTGTACATTGATGTGATGTCATTCTGGCTTGATTCATTGTATGTTTTACCAAACGTATTTATATGCAATGATTTTTAAACACTAAATACTAATATAGCTTCCCTAATATAAAGCCTTGACGAATTGAGAGAGATTTAAAAAAAAAAAAAGAGATTTAGACCATCTTTCTATACAAGATTTCATTTATGTTGTCTGCTATAGATAAACTCTCTTTGTGATACATTGAACATTAAATTCCACTACTGTATAATCTTGTCAGAAAATACTGTTGTGAATATCTGCAAAGGGAACACTATTATAGCTTAGCATGAACTCTTGTATTTATCCATCTGTTTACTACTTGTATGTTTTATTAATATAAATATTAAAAACTGAACCAAATTGCACCAAAGCATAGATCTGGAATGAACTGTTAACACAAAGTGCGATGGTATGGCAAGATTATTATCGTGAGAGAGCACTAAGCCACTATAACTATATTATAACACTTTGAAGAGATATGAAGACAGGCTAAGTGCTGGGATATGAGGACGGTGTGAAGGAACAGTGCCCAACCACTTGCACCATCAGGAATCAAGTGCAGACCCTGCAACACAAAAAGTGTTAATGAACAAAACAGTTCCAGAGATACTTCTATTGATGATTTGCGAATACAGTGACACCTCGGCTTACGAATGGCCCTATTTACGAATGTTTTGGTAACTTAACATAGTTTGTTGTGTTGATACGCGTATCGCCGACCTAGCTCGTGGTTCCTGGGTAGCACGGCACCTGTGCCTCAGTTTACCAGTGCTTCCCGCCTAGTGACAATCGCGCTTTAATTCTTTATAAAGAATTTCAGTGTTTTTCAGATTTTTTTGGGTTTTAACATAAAAGTAATTATTATATATCACGCCATGAGTCCCAAGAAAATCAGTGGTAGGGCTCAACCCAAGAAAATACACATGAGGATGACCATAGAGGAAAAACAAGAGATCATTCATAAACATAAAAATGATACACGGGTTGTTGAAATAGCTAGGCAGTATAACAAATCTATGTCAACAATATGCACTGTAATGGCTAAGAAAAAGGACATTATGAGTGCTAGTGGCAAAAGGCATGTCAACAATCACGAGACAAAGAACACAAACACTTGAGAATGTTGGAAAGTTGTTATTACTCTGGATACACAACAAGGAGTTAGCGGGTGATAATGATTCAGAGGCCATCATTTGTGAAAAAGCAAGGCATTTGCATGAAGATCTTATAAGGAATACCCCTGGAACAAGTATGCAGATACGAAAGAGTTTAAGGCGAGCAGGAGATGGTTTGAGAAATTTAGAAAAAGAAGTGACATTCATAGTGTTGTGAGGCATGGGGAGGCTGCCAGCAGCAGACAAACCAGCGACTGAAAGATTTGTTGAAGAATTTAAGGATTTTGTTGAGAGTGAGGCATACCTACCACACCAGTATGCCCTACCATCAAAATATATCTGCAGGAGAAAAGTTTGCCACTCAAGGCTATGCTTTTCCTCGACAAAGCTCCTGCTCATCCTCCAGACTTGGAGGATGCATTTTGGATAAATTTAATTTTGTTACAATAAAGTGCCTTCCTCCCAACACCACTCTTCTACTTCAGCCTATGGACCAGAAAATCATTTCCAATTTTAAGAAACTTTATGAAAGGGCACTTTTCTGGAAATGTTTTGAAGTGATTGATTCTACAAATCTCACCCTCAAAGAGTTCTGGAAAAAACATGTTAACATTTGCAGTGCTTTAAAACTCATTGACAAAGCCTGGCAAGAAGTGACTCAAAGAACCATGATCTCTGGCTGGAAAAAATTGTGGCCTGAATATGTTTCAGAACAAGATTTTGAGGGGTTTGAGCCTGAACCTGAAGTGCCTCTTGTTGAAGAAATTGTTACTCTGGGCCAGAAATTGGGCTTGGAGTTGGATGGTGCTGATGTGGAGGAGTTGGTGGAGGAATACAGTGAAGAACTGACCACTGTGGAACTCCTAGCCCTTCACAATGAGCAGCAACAAGAGGCAGCTGAGCAAATGTCTTCAGGAGGAGGAGGAGGCAGTACAGAATATCCCTTCCTCAACAATTAGGAAGTGGTGTAGACTGTGAGACGAAATGCAAACTTTTGTTGAAACGACTCGCCCAGAGCAAGCTGTAGTAGGCCGTTTCATTACCCTTATTAATGACGCTGTGATGCCTCACTACAGATAAGTGTTACAACGTAGGGGAAAAAAACAAGCCTCTATGGATAGATTTTTAGTGAGAAAAACAAGCAGTGAGCCACAAGCACGTCCTAGTGGTATGCGGGCAAAAGTAGGAGACAAGAGTACTCCCGAGAAGTCATCATAGTCTGATGTTATCATGGAAGGGGACTCCCCTTCCAAACACAAACCTTTCCTCCTCCTCCCCACCCGCCTCACCGTCTTTCATACGCCAACAAGAGAAATCAATAAAGGTAAGCAATAAATTGTACATACTATAGTACTAACGATTTGGGTGAATTAGGGATGAAATTTATTTTTAAGTTAATATTTTTGGGAGTGTGGAACAGATTAATTCAATTTACATTATTTCTTATGGGAAAATTCACTTCGCGTTACGAATTTTTGGGTTAAGAACTGTCCCTGGGAACGGATGAAATTCGAAAGCTGAGGTACCACTGTATGTGGTTGTACCACTGTATGTGTATTGGTAAGCTGAGGTACCACTGTATGTGGTTGTACCACTGTATGTGGTTGTACCACTGTATGTGGTTGTATTGCTTCTCTGTGATCCTGACATGAAGCTCTATAATAATCATACTTTTTTTATAATGCAAATAAATTAAATGGTAAATATGAAATCTAATATAATTTTCATGAAAAACTTCTTAAAATTTTTTATCAACTATATTATATTAGAATTTTGGTCTTAAATGTGGGTTTTTTATTTTTATTTATATATACAAGAATTCTTACATTCTTGTACAGCCACTAGAACGCATAGCATTTCAGGCAAGTCCTTAATCTTAATATTCTTTGGAATATGACCTCGCCAAATAGTTTAACAACCAGGTACCCATTTTACTGTTGAGTAAACAGAGGCTACAGTTAAGGAGTGACGCCCAGTAAATCCTCCCCGGCCAGGATACGAACCCAGGCCAAAGTGCCCGCAAAACCCTAGGCAAGCGTCTTACCACTATGCCACGGGAACTGTAATTGGAATTATATGGTACTGGAATTGGTTAGGTTATTCAGAGCCATATTTTCCCTATTACATAACTACTATTTATTTTTTTGACAGGGATATTTCTGCATGGGTTCTAAGCCTCTGACTGCCCACTAAGTGTTACTTGTTTCTTGTTTCTGTTTTATGAGTATTTATGACTCTTATGTTCGCTTTAGTAATATTAGGCCCAATGTGTTTAACAACATCTTCTGCTCTGTTAAATATTTGTTGAAATCTTATTATTGGGTTTACTACACTGTGTTAGATAATGTTCCATTGGTCTGTCGGGCATTTCTCTACAGTCCTGACATTTCTTCTCATCTTTTGGAACCTGTAAGTTAGTTATTGTCATGTCATGTTATTCCTATATGACTTCGCACCCAGTTGATAAGTATTCAACGGCCTTGACGTTTGAGTGTTTGCATTAATGATATGACATTTGTGATGGATGTTGCCATGCACGTGTTCTTGTTGCAAAGTTTAAATGGCAGTTCTTGAATCTGTTTGTACGATAACATGATGATGTTCAGCAAGAGCATGTTCCAAAGCCTTATGAATGGCTAGCATCTATTTGCAAAGTTGAACACCCATTTGAGAGTCTCAAACTAACTACAGAATTTTCTGTCTTAACTGCAGCTCCGGTTTCTTGCTTCTGGTCTACTGATCCATCTGTGAAGTATGTAAAGGTGTCAGATACCAAGTTTGCTTCTATATTCATCTGTGCAATGTTGTGTAGCAGATAAGGATTAGTCTGGTTCTTATTTCATTCAAGAGCCATAATCTTAAAAGTCTGCTGACAGTGATTCCCAAGGGGGCTTGCATGACGAAGTCTACATGTATTTTGTCGACACCGGACCTCTGATGTTGATAGAGTTCTCTCTCAGTGACTGTATTTGTTATACTGCAGAAGCTCACTAATTTGGGACCCGTCAATCCGGAAAACACCCTAATCTGGCAAAGATTATGACCGGAAAAAGTTATCTCCCTATGCGGCCAAAATGTCCATAGAAGCTGGACTAGTGGATATTTGGCTGGCTCAGCGTATACTGAGAGTTGAAATCTAAACCGGTTAATTTGCTACTGATGTTGCTCAATCCGGATAATAAGCCGGACAAGCAGAGATTATTCCGGATCAGAAAGGCAGGCATCGAGCTATACCGTATTAATCCCGTACGGCTGTGGTTCGAGGCACGTGGTGTAGGGTGGGGTGGGTGGGTGGTGTCGGGAGAGAGGTGAGCGTTGGGAGGGACAGCCTGTGGGGAAAAGGGGCATGCGGAGGGGCCTATACAGTACAGTAATTATCAATAATTTTAGAACAATTCATCACAGTCAAAAAGAAAAGAAATACAGTATCATATAATACTGTATTATAACAAATATACAAGTTCCCTAAAAACAATTTGCACAGGCTGAAGTTTGCTCCAAAAATATTGGGAGTTTTTTCCACCTGGCGGCCTACGTAACGTGCCTGCTTGCCCCAAGTGGACCCGATCAGGCCTGGGCAAGCCAAACAGCTCATGTGCTGCCGACCTTCCCGTTATACCACAGTGCCACACCATTAGTGAAATATTTTTTTTGTCAGTTAAACCTAAAAACCTAAAAGTTATTTAAGCTTTTAGGTTTTCATAGTAACTTTGATCATATTTGCCAAGACTATGTCTGGTAGCAGCAGCAATCGTTCTCGAGGTGTTAAGAGGAAGGAAGTTACCCCAACAATTAAAGACTAGCTCCGCCGGCTCGGAGCCGGTCGGCCGAGCGGACAGCACGCTGGACTTGTGATCCTATGGTCCTGGGTTCGATCCCAGGCGCCGGCGAGAAACAATGGGCAGAGTTTCTTTCACCCTATGCCCCTGTTACCTAGCAGTAAAATAGGTACCTGGGTGTTAGTCAGCTGTCACGGGCTGCTTCCTGGGGGTGGAGGCCTGGCCGAGGACCGGGCCGCGGGGACACTAAAGACCCAAAATCATCTCAAGATAACCTCAAGATGTGTTATACAACTCTGTAAAAGTGGCTGATTGACATCGGGTGTTGCCAAGGACTTTAATATAGGCACTAGTCCTGTTTCTGATATAGGGAAACAAAAAGAGCAATAACTGAAATACATTTCAACCAATGAGAGTGAAGGTGCAAGCACTAGTGGAGAGTGCAGTAGAAGATCTTCGAAACCTTCAAGCATGTATAGTTGGATGTGGTCCAGGGTTATAGCATATGCTTGAGTAATTCATGTCGGCTTGGAGATTGTGGGGATTAGCATACAGGAGTTCATACTGTTCAGGAAGTATTTGACTTGGGGAATATTTGGTTGACAAAGGTCAATGTTGAAGTCACCTCCTAGGATGATGTGATTTTTGTTTAGTTTGTTGTTTATGATTAG